CGGGGCCCCGTTTGCCTGCTACTCCGGTGGCCGAAGCCATGGCCAGCCTGAGTCTGCGGCCCGAAGACTGCGGCGGGAGGACTAGGGACAGCAGCCTCCAGGAAGAGAGGGTCGCGCCAGGGCTGGGGAAACCAGAACACCACGAGAGGTGGAGTCCCACCCCGAGACAACGCCCCCGCACCTGATTGGCGGAGGGGCCGGGCCCTTGAAGCCAATCCCGGGCCGCGCTCGGACAGGGCTGACTCGACGGGATTCCAGGCAGTGCTACGGGATGAGCCGCTGAGCATCTGCGAGGGGCGGTGTGTTGGGCGGAGCGTCACCAACGACTGGTAAATACGTGTGTCCGTCCGTGCAGCCTGCATTTTCCCGCCAAGAGATTCTCCATCGCTCTCGACCAGAAGCCCCAGAAAGAACACAACCACACAAACACAGTGTGTGAGTGACAGTGTGGGTAAAGTAGCCAGGACCAAGACTGAAGAATGCAAAAAGAAAAGGTCATTTGAGGGACCAAAAAAAAAAAAAAAATCAGTATTCCCATTTTTTTCTCCCTTAAGAGAAATTGAGGAAGAAAGACAACAATAGGAGGTAGAGAGCCTGTAAAAAAGGATAAAGGAGATCTTTGGAGATACACGGGGAACTGGACTAGCAACCTTTCTGTTAAACATGTCAAATATGCTAGAGAGTTGAAGAAAAACTATGGAAGGCACCACTAATGGTTCATTAATAAATATTACAGTGATTGTGGACCATTTCAGATACTTGCAACAGCAAACAAAGCAGTTAACCTCCACAAACTGAGAAAAATGAACAAAAAACTCTACAGAAATTTTCTGGCTGGCAGGTCATGTGGTGGTTAAGGCACTGGATACCCACATAGCAGAAAGTGGTTCTAGTCCCAGACCTGACAGCTTGCATTCTCACTTTCTCTCTGTCTCTCTGGTCAATTTAAAAAATTAACTAATAATAAGTAAAATTAAATAAATAATTATTTTTTGAGAGAGACATATTTTTGCTATAGGGTGTGTACACTCTCCAGAGAGAAAGAAAATGAGACATTACCCCCAAGGGGGATGACCACACAGCTGCTGGACTCCCATGTAGTTGACTGCGGTTCAAGTCCAGGACCTGGTGGCTTAAACTCACGCCGGGTGCATGTGCATGTATACCCAAGATCCTAGGAGGAGACTGGACAAGGGATCGTGGAGTGGCCATATCCCCTGGGGTGATTTCTCACTTTCTGTCTCTGTCTCTCTGTCTTTCTGGTGAGCATATGTGCCCTATAGCAAAATCCTCTCCAAAAATAATAATAATAATAATAACCTGCAACTAACCTCACCACTCCTCATACTTCTGCTCTCCTTCCTCTACTTTTCCTTTTTTTTTTTTTTTAAGGGTTTTGTCACAGGGCGTGTGTGCTTGCCAGAGAGTCATGGTGAGAAGGAAAGTAAGAAATCACTTCCTCAGGTGATGGCCATGCTGCAAACCCTTCTTCATTCTCCTCCTGGAATTTCAGGCACACACACACTCATGCCTGATGTGATTTTCAAGCTGCTGGGTCTGGGACTTGAACTGTGGTCAGCCATGTGGAAGTTCAGTTCCTTAACTACTGCACCACCTGCCGGCCCCAACTCTGCTTTACTTTTTATTTCTACCATCAAACTTATAATTTCCTAATATACAATATAATCTGTTTATCATTTTTTAAAAAGAATTATTTATTTTATTTTTAGAGGAAAAATGATATTATAATACTAGGTTGTTGGAAAAGTCATGACATATTTTCCTGATTTTTATGCAAAAATGTGTCATGACTTTTCTGACAACCCAAAAGTATCTACCAAATAGGGCTGATGTAACTACATGTGAAACAGTGCCTGGCATATTGTAAGTACTCAATGTACATTAGCTATTTGTTTTTTTCTTTTTTTGGAGAGGTTTTTTTGCTACAGGGAGACAGACAGAGAGAGACAGAGAGACAGAAAGCGAGAAATCACCCCCCAGGGAGGATGGTCACGCCACAATCCCTTCTCCTCTCGGGATCTTGGGCACGCATGCACACACACCCGGCATGAGTTTTAAGCCACCGGGTCCAGGACGCAAACCACAGTCGACTACATGGGAGTCCAGCGACATAGCCATTACGCTAACTGCTGGTTCCCCATATTAGCTATTGTTATCATTATTATAACATTTTACACATAGTATAATTTGCATGAGTCCTGGGATTTAACAATCTTGAATATGAATGAACCTGCTGAGCAAGTCGGTGTATTAGGTTGTGAGGCAATTAGCAATGATTGAGTATGAAAATAGGAATATTCGGGACCAGCAGATGGTGTAGTGGCTAAGTTGCTGGACTCCTATGTAGTTAACTGCAGTTTGAATCCCAGATCCAGTGGCTTAAACTCACGCTGTGCATGCCCAAGATCCTAGGAGGAGAATGGAGGAGAAGGGATTGTAGTGTGGCCATCCCCCTGGGGGATTATTTCTCACTTTCTGTCTCTCTGTCTCTCTGGGTCTTTCTGGTGAGCACAAACACCCTATAGCAAAAACCTCTCAACAAAAAAAAATAAAGAAAAAAAAGAAAATAGGAACATTCTAGGGCTCAGTTTATTTTGTCCCTTAAATAGCATTCAAATATTTAAATGGTCAGTTCACCAAGTAAGATGCAGTTCAAATTTATTTTTGAAGGGTCTTTGCTTAGGTTCTTTTTTATTTTTTTTTTAAGTGTATACCTCTGAAGGAGTCTAACTTCTTCCATTAGCAACTTTTAAAAAATTTTTTTTCATTCAACTTTATTTATTATTATTATTTTAATTGGACCAGATAGAGAGAGAAAGTGAGAAAGCAAGCTACTGTGTCTGGGTTTTGAACTATGGTTAGCCATGTGGGAATCCAGTGCCCTTAACCACCATGCCACCTGCTGGCCTTATAACTTTTTATTTAAGAGAAATTCTCAAAAGATCATAGTAATGGGGCATGTGGATTATTGAATTTTTATATAACCTCAAATTTATCACAGACTAAAGTTGACTAATTTTATTTTCTTTTCATATCCCTGCTCACTTTTACTAGAGGGTACCTGTTCAGACTAAGAAGGGTGAGAAGAAAAAGGTGAAATTTATTCAAATGAATCATTTAGGCTGTAAAATAATATTCTTTCTCCATTGCTAGTCCTTGTTCTAATTTCTTTTCTGATGAATGAAAATTTCTTTAAAAATGATTACTTTCTGTTTTTTGCCAAGATGGCGCCAAAAGCGAAGAAGGAAGCTCCTGCCCCTCCCAAAGCTGAACCTAAAGCTAAGGCTTTGAAGGCCAAGAAGGCAGTGCTGAAAGGTGTCCACAACCACAAAAAAAAAAGAAGATCCGTATGTCACCCACCTTCTGAAGGCCCAAGACTCTCAGGCTGCGGAGGCAGCCTAAATATCCTTGGAAGAGCGCCCCCAGGAGAAACGAGCTTGACCACTATGCCATCGTCAAGTTCCCCCCTGACAACTGAGTCTACCATGAAGAAGAGAGAGGACAAGACACTGTGTTCATTGTGGATGTCAAGGCCAACAAGCACCAGATCAAACAGCCTGTGAAGAAGCTCTATGATCTTGATGTGGCCAAGGTCAACACTCTAATCAGGCCTGATGGAGAGAGGAAGGCGTATGTGCGACTGGTTTCCGATTATGATGCTTTGGATGTTGCCAACAAGATTGGGATCATCTAAAGCAAGTCCAGCTGGCTAATTCTAAATATACATTTTTTCACCATTAAATAAATATATATATATTACTTCCTCATTTATTTTTTTTCTTTTGCCTGGCTAATAGGGAGGATCTTTTTTGTTTTTACAATTCTCCCTACTCCACTGTGAAATATAGCATGCTTATAAAAATATATGGATATAGGGCCAGCCAGTGGCATGATGGTTAAGGTGGCTGGATCCCACATAGCTGACTGTGTAGTTCAGGTCTTGGACCTGGTGGCTTGGAAAACATGCTAGGTGCATGTACATGTGTGCCCAAAATCCTGAGAGGAGAATGGAGGAGAAGGGATTGTGATGTGGTCATCCCTCTTGGGAGGTGATTTTCCCTCTCCCTTTCTAGTGGGCATACATATGCCATAACAAGATTAACTGAAAAAAAAGTTTAAGTACATGTAATATTAAAATAATAATGATTATATGAGTTATGTATTGCTACGTAACAAATTAGTTCACAGTTTAGTGCTTTGAAACAACAAAATTGTATTATCTCACAGTTTTTTTCTTTTTCTTTATTATCATCATAATCTTGTTTATATGACATTGAATCATGAATAACTTTACAGTATATTACATTTTTTTTCCAGAAGGAATACTATGCATATCAGTCAATATAGAAACATTAAAATCTCCATTTCATTATCCAATAGCTTATCTCACAGTTTCTGAAGGTCAGTAAATCAGACAGCTTAACTCAGAACCTCTGACTCAAGGTCTCTCAGGAGACTGGAGCCATTGTGTTGGTTGAAACTGCAGTATCATCTGAAGGCTCAATTGGGGAAGATTTTGCTTCCACATTCACTCACATGGTTGTTTCCAAAACTGAGTTCTTCACTGGCTATAGGCCTCCCTCAGTTCTTTCCCATGTGGGCCTCTCCAAAGGACATCTTACAACATAGCAGATGACTTTCCTATGAGAGAGAGAAAATACAAGATGAAGTCACAGTTTGAATACTGGTATTAACATCCCATGACATCTGCTACATCAAATTCATTAGAAGTTAGTCACTAAATTGGGACCAGCAGTTAGCGTAATGGCTATGTCGCTGAACTCCCATGTACTCGACCGCAGTTCGTGTTCTGGACCTGGCGACTTAACACTCACGCAGGACGTGTGTGCATGCGTGCCCAAGATCCTGAGAGGAGAACGGAGGAAAAGGGATTGCAGCGTG